ACACACTCAAATTCCTCATCCTCTGACTATAAATAATGTAACAGTTCACCATCCTTTTCCCAAACCAAGAGCAGAGCTAGCTACCTGCAGTTAATTTCACCGAGCTTCAATCTTCACTGTGACAAGGTAATCTTTCTTCTTGCAACTATCTATATTCTTGACTTTCTTTTGACAGGGGAAGAAGGAAGACGAGACATGTGAGGCATTGGGTAGAAAACACTGAAAATTGATTTTCTGAGGTGTATTTCACCATTGATTGAACTCACCGTCGACTGGAAATTGATTCTTTCCGGAATGGTTTGGTTTCGCGCCGTTAACCCTTTGGGGATGAAAGCTGCCGTGTAATCATCGGGCACGTGCTCCGGCGCGTTGCCGTTGCCGTAAGGTCGCCGCAGGGTGTTGCTCCGGCACCCTTCCATTTCTACGAACGGGAGTCCGAAACCACCGTCTCGGAAACAAACTATGCTTTGTTTCTTCTCCTCCCCTTTGTTTAAAGAAAATTTCCTGTGCCCCAGGAATTCGCCGTGCACCATAGAATCGTCGCCGAAGGACCAATTGCTTGGACCGACCGCCGGCGGGCTTGACAGAAAAGAAAGCTTGTTCAGGCTTCGCTGTGTTCGTCGACAGAGGTACCAAAATAGCGAGAGTTTTTTGCTTTTTAACTTATCCTCTGCTTTGTATTTAAATAAAGACTACATAGAGCCATGTGCTCTCACTTTTGCTTTTCACTATCCCCAAGGTTCTTTTTCATCTGCTTTGCTGTGTCAGTGAACATAGCCTATTCACAATTCAATGCTTCTCTTTTGGACTTATTCAAGAGCTTGGAGTTTTTTGTGCGTGTATATACTTGACACATAGCATGGCTGCCATTTTGCTTTTCTCTTGCACCACTATATAAATGTATATGTACAACATATTATCCACTGGCCCACGTGAATATGTATAATATATATGCATTATCCACTGTACCCATGTGCTCACTTGTGGCTATGTGTAAATATATATGTTTAATATATGTTTTTCTTGCCTTTCACTGTACATGTGTTCAATGTTGTTGCTTCATCACTTCACCTTACATATATATAATATAATCCTTGTTTCTCGTGCACATATGTATGTATGCATAATGTGTAGTCCATCCTCATGCACTTTGCTTCACCACTTGTAGTATTATATAATAATATATATGTAATACACAAGTTTGCACGGTGCGAATTACATATATATATATATATACACACGGCCCATTATGCATAATCCACATGTTTAACTTATATTATATATAATATACACATGCATACTTTGTGCATAATATATATAATACATGCGTGGTCCATATGGATATATATTTGGTGCTTTTGTTTTGCACCACCATTTGCATACAATGCGTGGGTATATATATAACACATAATTCATGTGATTGATTTGGTGTGTATATATATACGTATATAATATATATATATATATATAATATCCTTGTTGCATATACTGCGTGTATATTTCCTTTGCCATATAATATATGTACTCACTACACACGCATGTAATATGTAATATATGTACGTGGTAAGTATATACGTATAACATATATTATATGGGTTGCCTTGTGCACATATCATCACGTGAAAAATTTCCTTGAACAGTTTCATGGCGATTTTAGACTTAGAACTTTTTCCTTGCTTTACAAATTGTTATTACTTATGGACTTGGCCTCTTGATTTTCATGCAGATTCATACATCGCAAACCATCTTTGAACAATGGTAGTGTTTTGGGAAACCGTGGTAGCCGATCAGAAGAGGAGGCTCAAAGTATCAAGCGACGAGACTGGAAAAGATAGCATGTCGTTCATCGTTTAGCCACCAATGGCGTCGAGAACTCGTCTTTCCCAGATACCACCATATAAAGTGGAAAATTGGACCCATGACACTGACACCCAGCCATCGAAAACATGGGTTCTGAAGACCGGCTTAAGTCATGTGGACTACACAGACACACTCCCGACTTTAGGGAGATGGATACTTGAAGGTGAGGCTTCATGGAATCAGCACCCCAGCTTTAAAGGTGAATTTAGCTTCACAAAGGGGTATTGGGAGTGGACTGAGGCTATACTCAGTCGGCATCGCAAACTTCTAGATGATGTGACGATCTACGACGGCGTATATGCCTCCTTATTCACATATGACCGCTCGACGCCTATCGTCCAAGCATTCTGCGAAGCGTGGTGCCCCATGACAAATACCTTGCTTACATCCCTCGGTGAGCTTTCAATCTCACTTTGGGATATGCATGTACTTTGCGGTCTACCGATATCTGGCGACATCTACGATGAGTATGTTCCAACTGCCTCGCAATTAATAGGGGAAGACATCGACTCCGCCCCTCAATGTTGTAAGTATTTGTTCCAAGCATACTATCACCTTGGTAACCGAATTAGGCAACGAGGTAGTCGCCGTGGGCAACAGGAGAAAAGTCGTTCAGTTCACGTTGTTGAGTGGATAGAATTCTGGAGCAGAAGACCGCAAGTTTATGACAGGCCACCACCTAGGAAGGAGGATAAGAAGAAGACTCGCCCGAGGAACACCCATAATCCAAGTGGCAAGATCCCAGCATTCGGGGGTTGGACCAAAACGACCAAAGCGCCTTTTGCTGAGCTTGGAATTCCCTCCGAATACGAGGAGGAGACCCATTTGGCAGCATACCTAAGTTGTTGGCTGTGCGTATTCGTGCTCCCCATCAAAGCAACGCGACTCATTCGAGCCCAAACATTCAAAATGGCTAGTCTAATGGCGACGGGCAAAACACTGAACCTTGGGATCCCCGTACTTGCGAGCATTTACAATGGATTGAATGTAATATCGCACTCTAGTACGCCGGGGTCAGTTGATAGTCACTTTCCCATTCACTATGTGTATGGATGGCTGTCGTTCTACTTCGACACTCATTTCGCAAATGATCAAACGTCCGCTTCCCCGCTGATGATTGCCTACTCTGGAGAGGGTGGCGCGAGGTACTATGGACCAGTAGAGGCTCGTCGTAAGATGTTCAAAGCCGACAGCGCCAATTGGCTCTGCACGACGCGCCGCCTAACTAAGGATCTCTACTTCCTCGATAATGGGGACGCACACTCTACCGACCACGAGTACCTCATGTGTCTTCGTTCTAACCACCTCATATTGCGATGGGCGGATGCATGTATCGCAGAGCCTTACACTCCTCATCGATTCAGCCGACAGTTCAGCTACTACCAAGACGGCAGCTCTGGCATACTGGGCAATGATGAACGTGAGGTCACGCTTTCGGAGGGTTTCCAACGTTGGTGCCACTCTACACTTAGGGGTTCAGGGTCGCGAGTGACATTTCCCGCGACTCGAGTTACTGTCACCATGAAGAAGTATTTCTCGCCGGGCTATAAAGATTGGTGGGCCCAAGTCCATGGGGACTACCTCGAGCGCAATATCAAGGGTTTAGCTCCTGAGGATCCAGCCAACGTGCAGCAAGAGTCTGGCACCGCCAAGAAGGGCAAACACCCAGTCCAGGGAGATGAACCACCACCCAAGAAGAGAAAGGAGCATATCATCTCGAAAAACAGGGCCGATGTGGTACGGTCGGACTCGGGTGATGAGGAAAGCCATGACCGTCACTGGAAACGGCGACGAGACAGACGTTCGCCTTCCCCAGTGGAGGTAAATCACTGTTCTCGCTTATCCCAATGATTGCTGGTAGCACTTAATTTACCCTCTTTTACTTCTTGACAGGAAAATGTGGCGATACCTGCTAGTGGAGGGGCTGAGTCATCAAATAAAAGGGTGGCAGCCAGCAATACTGGAGAAAGTGGACATTCAAACAATGCCTCAGCATCAAACACGCACCAGTCGGGGAATTCCCTCGACGAGCCACGCGTAGGTCAGCAAGATAGACCTGAGGTCTCTGTCTTTTATGGAAAAGACCTCGTACTGGAAGAATTTAAGGTGGTTGTCATAAATGTCTGGAACAAGCTTCGCAAAAAGTTGGACGACACCCCCGGTAGAACACATTTCATCTTTGCAAGAGAGCTTTTTGAACGCTTTTGCAAATCTGCGGAAGTTAGACATTGATATCTCTCCCTTGGAAACACGGGTTGCAGACATTTTCACGAAAGCTCAAGCCTTTGATAACTTAAGGTCCACAATTTCTGACAAAACATCAAGCGAGTCTCAGTCTTTATCCCTGGCGAAGGATGCGCTTAAGAATGCACAAGACGAGTTTAGGAAACTCAAGAAAGATCTATTGGGCCAACATAAGATGCTTAAGGCCACAAAAGATCGGGAAGAGGAATTGGAGAAAGAACTGAAGTTAGTTCGTGCCAAGGCAGAGGAATGCGACACTGCGATTGCCAAAATTACAGATGACCTGGGCAATGCTAAGACTGCCGTTTCGGAGGCTGGGGCAGAGGTCACCCGCATTAAGGACCTGACTGTACTGACGCCAGAAGATGAAACGAGCTTAAAGGAGGCAAAGAGAGGCTTAGAAGCGTGCAAAGACGATATGCTTAGCTTTAGGCTTTTTTATTGACTGATACTCTTTGTCATTTAGTTTCTCTTTTGATTGCAAGAACTTTTGTTGTTTCGTTTCTAACTTTTGATAATTGAATGCTCCTCATTTATGTGCCGGTCCTTTAGCGATAATTCAAACAACTTTTCTTTCACCCGTTGAAGGATTGTCTAGATAACCCACTCTTGCAACATGAATTGGATTTGATTTTGTTATGACTGAACTTAGATAATTTATTCTAAGCTGCCTACGTACTCCTATCACGGAGATCAAGTCAAACGTAGTTCAAATGATTTTTTTTTTTTTTACAAAGTAGAGCCGTTCACAGTTTAGACTCATGCGGGCCAGGAGCGTCTATGATTTGGGCCCACCCATAGACAAAGCGAGATGCATTAGCAGTTTAACCACGTGCTGGGTTTTTGGTGGATGAGTCGTTCATCATATTTCCACGACTTGTGTTGACACCCCAAGTTTAAGGGTGGTAAAGCTTTAGGAACCTTCCATTGATTGGACCGATCTTCAAACCATCTTCACTAATCAACTTGTAAGCCCCACCGGTGTAAACTTCTAGAATCACGTAGGGACCATCCCACCTTGAAGTGAACTTGTGACCAGTTTTTCTCGTGACGATGATGGGCCTGCGAACAGCTAGGACCTTGTCCCCAATTTGAAAGGAACGGGTCCTTACCCTTTTGTTAAAAGCTCTAGACATGCGAGCTTGATAGCACTCCAGGCTTTGTTGCGCTTGCAGCCGTTTCTCATCCAAGGCTTCTAACTCAGCCAAGCGTAGCTTAGCATTTTCTTCATCAGTAAGACCCTCCTGTATAGCCAACCTTAAGGAAGGTATTTGACGTTCTAGAGGCAGGACCGCTTCTACACCATACACCAAAGAGTATGGAGTGCTTTGAGTAGGTGTACGGTATGTGGTTCTATACGCCCACAAAGCTTCTTCCATTCTGTCATGCCAGTCTCTTTTCGATTTTGAGACCACTTTCTTCAACAAATTGCATAGGGTCTTGTTAAAAGCTTCAGCAAGCCCATTTGCAGCTGCATAGTAAGCTGATGAGTTTCGCTGCTTAAAGTCAAAAAGCTTGCAGATCTTGTCCATGAACTTGTTGTCAAAGGGCTTCCCGTTATCTGTTAAGATATATCGCGGGATACCAAATCGATAGACGATGTGGACACGGAGAAAGTCTGCAACATTTTCTTTCTTCACCTCCTTCAATGCCACGGCTTCCGCCCACTTTGAAAAGTAATCGGTGGAAGCTAATATGTAGGCATGCCCTGCAGATGACTTAGGCGTAATTGGGCCAACCACATCAAGTCCCCAAGCATCAAATGGCCAAGATGCAACTGTTGGGTGCAGAGGTTCTGGTGGTTGATGGATAAATTTTGCATGATATTGACAAGCTTGGCATCTTCGAGCATAGTCTATGCAATCCTTTACCATTGCAGGCCAATAATATCCCATTCGCTTAATGTGGAAATGCAACTTGGGACCGGATTGATGTGCACCGCAAACCCCAGAATGAGCTTCTTGCATAGCTTGTAAAGCTTCCTCTTCCCCTAGACATCGGAGAAATATTCCATCAAAGGAACGACGATACAATGTCTCTTTATAGTAGATGAAGCGAGGAGTTCGACGCTTTATATCCACCCTTTTACGGGGATCTTCAGGTAACTTTCCATCAGTGAGGTAGTCAATTAACGGTTGCCTCCAGTCGTCTTTGCCTATATCATACACTGAGGCAGTAGGGAGTTCAACGATTTCATCAACTGAGCCGTCTTCATTAAAGATTGGTGGAACCACCCACCTTTGACATACTTGTATTCGGGCTGCAGGATGAGCAATAGTTGAAGCCAATGCGGCTAAGGTGTCAGCTTGCTTGTTTTCTTTCCTTGGTACATGTTCAATTGTGACGTCCCCTAACCATTGCATGAGTATCTTTGCATAGTTGTTATATGGGACTAACTCCGCCTTTTTCACTTCATATAGACCCAACACTTGGTTTATGATCAACTTTGAATCTCCATAAATGTTAATTCTCAGTTGCTTCATGTCAGCCGCTATCTCGAGCCCAAGTATCAATGCTTGATACTCAGCAACGTTGTTTGAACATTGCTCGGTCAAGGTGAATGAATATGGCAACACCTCGCCTTCTGGAGTGACGAAGACAACTCCAGCACCTGCCCCTTCTCTATGCGAAGCTCCATCAAAGTACATTTTCCATGGGGGTAGGACTTCAATGACAAGCACATCTTCATCAGGCAAATTGTTAGACAACTCCCATTCAGCAGGTATTGGGTGGTCTGCTAGGAAATCGGCCAAGGCTTGCCCCTTGACAGACTTTTGCGGCACATATACAATTTCAAACTGTTGAAACAATAAGTACCACCTTGCGAGGCGGTCGGAGAGAACGACCTTCGCCATAACATATTTCACCGGGTTCGCTTTGGAAACAAGCCGGATGGTATGAGCCTCGAAGTAGTGCTTAAGTTTTTTTATGGAGAACACGAGTGCCAAACATAGCTTTTCAATTGGGGAGTACTTTAACTCGTTCGGGGTCATCATTCTGCTGAGATAGTAGAGAGCATTCTCCTTCCCTTTGTCATTTTCTTGAGCAAGCAAGGCGCCCACAGAACAATCTTGGGCGGAGATATAAAGGATGAGCGGGCGACCATGGGCAGGAGCGGTTAGCACAGGCGGCTTCATCAAGTATGACTTGATACTCTCAAATGCGCTCTTGCATGCCTCGTCTCATATGAACGGGATGCCCTTTTTCATCAACCGACTAAAAGGTTGACATCTTCCTGCTAGGTTTGATATGAACCTTCGGATGTAAGCCAACTTCCCTTGTAAGCTTTTAAGCTCATGAAGGTTTCTCGGCTCAGGCATCTTCATTATGGCGTCAATTTTGGCTTGTTCAATCTCGATGCCCCTGTGTCGAACAGTAAACCCGAGGAACTTTCCAGCAGCAACCCCGAAAGCACATTTCAGGGGGTTCATTTTCAGTTGAAACTTTCGTAGGCGATCGAAGACTTGCCTTAAATGCACCAAGTGATTTGTGCGCAATTTCGACTTCACAACCAGGTCGTCTACATAGCATTCGACCATTTTATGGAGCATATCATCAAATATTGTCTGCATAGCCCTTTGGTATGTAGCACCTGCATTTTTCAAACCAAAGGGCATTACTTTATAGCAGTAGATGCCTTTTGGCGTTCGGAATGCAGTTAGGTCTTCATCTTCCGGCGCCATGCGGATTTGATTGTAACCGGAGGAGCCATCCATGAATGACAGGATCTCATGCCCAGTCACGGGCATCTATCATTAACTCCGTGATAGGAAGCGGGAAGTCATCTTTCGGGCATGCCACATTGAGGTCCCGAAAATCTACGCAGACGCGGATCTGGCCGTTCTTCTTGCGCATGGGAACAATACTGGATATCCAGGTTGGATATTTAACTTCACGAATGAAGCCAGCCTCAATAAGCTTATTAACTTCTATTTCAATCAAGGGAATGAGCTCGGGGCAGAAGCGTCGTTGAGCTTGCTTAACCGGGCGACACCCGTTCTTCACTGCTAAGTGGTGCACAGCTACCTTTGGGTCTAACCCTGGCATCTCCTTGTATGTCCATGCAAAGACATCAATATATTCTTTCAGCAATGTGACATAGATTTCTTCATCTTCGTCAGATAGGAGTGCGCTAATGAAGATAGGACGAGGATTTTCAGGCGTTCCCAGATCAACTTCTTTTAATTCGTCCACCGCGGCTCGTACCCCTTCTTCTAACTCATGGGGTGCATCTTCTGCATCTTCCCCCTCAATCGGGGTTTCATCACATAACGTGATATGGAACGACGATGCCACCTCTTCCTGAGTAGTTGGTAGTACGTCATCACTTGAGCCTACGCTTTCCTCATTTTCTTCTTTATGTACACGAGTGTGTACAATGGTCTTCGGTTGGACTTTCAACACTTCACCGCATGAAACATGAATATATGTTTCTCGTCTCATCCGAGAAGGAATCATGCTTCTAAGCCTTTTGGGAGGTTCCACTTCAGCAGGAACATTGGCACTGTCTTTAATAACTTGGACAGCTCCAAGTCGATCATGCATTGACTTTCTCTTTAGGGCTTTAGGACTTGAACCCAGTCTATCTAAGACTGAGCGTCAAGAGTCTACCTTACCGATTCGGTCGAAGACTGACTTCTTTTTGTCTTGCCCATTATCATTGGCAGGAGTGATTTTTGGATCATACTCGCTTCCCTCCGCGGAGATACAATTACTTGCAGCCCTGTTTATAAGAATTTGCACTAGTTTAGGGGGAACATAGCCCAACCCTTTGCGCGTTTGAGGTTCTTGGTGATTTGCTTTGCCTTTACCGCCGGCTTCTGGGATAAGCTTTCCCAACTTCTGTGGCTCGTTGGGGTCATAGCCAGCCTTGGCTAGAAGCTTATAAGCATTAGGGTCGAAACCCTCGGTACGTTTGGCGGGGAATATTTGGCCCACTTTATCACCACATTTCTCTTCGGATGATTTTGCTGCATTTGTTTTGAGTGTATCAATCCTCGCAAGCGGGAAGATGAGTTTTGTGTTGTGTTGATCCCCCTCTACAACTTGTTTTACCTTTGACGTCGATTGAGAAGGTGGATCGTCATTGTTTCCCTCGATATCTTCAACAATAACTTGCCTTTTAATGTAGAACTTTGCATCTGCAAAGTAAGACTCAGCCTCTGTGAACGGGCTTTCATCGGCGACAACCTTTTCAACTACGCCGTTCCTTTTCAAACATAAGGCATTGATGCCAAGACGAGGGTACCACCCCATTTTCATGTATCCATGGCCTTCCAAGTAACAAGTTATAAGATGTCCTCGCATCTATGACATGGCAGAGGACACCTGAACTTAAGCTTCCAATTCTTAAGTCAAGTCTGATGATGCCGATTGCTCTTTGCCCTCCCTGGTTGAAGCCTTGTATCATTAGACGACTTTGGGCAAGCTCATCTGTAGATATACCAAGGTCCTTCACAGCTCGGAGGGATAGGATGTTGACAGCTGAGCCTTGATCAACCATAATTCTTTTGAGTTTTTTGCCCACGGGTGTAGCCTTCAACAAATAATGGGCGATTGTGTGGCGTGCCTCCAAGTAACAAGTCTTCATCCTTGAAGGTAATTTCTGTGGAGTAGGAAGTAGCCTTATGCATTAACACTTCCTCATCCTCGGTGTGTTTAGGAGATGAACATTCACCTCCATCTTCTGGCTTGTCATTTGTATTTAGGCAGGAGCTAGCACGGTCTACCCCTTGAAGATTAAATCCTTTTTGGCATATATTGAGCCAAAGGAACTGGTGCTCGTGGTTGCTTGACATGCCCCTTCGTCTTTAGTCTGCGGGCATTGCCACTTGTTGAGGTTTTCTCAACCCAACTTCTCGCTGTGTGCTTAGGATGTCTCCCAGGCTCAACTTTCTTCTTTCTATGAGTGACTATCACCCATTTTCCTTCAGATGTGCTATCATTTTGCTGTGGTTTTGAACTTTGACCAGCAGCATACTTAATAATGAAGGGGAGTGGACGCTTCCGTTGTTTTCCATCTTCCTTTTCAGTACACAGCGGAGCGAACCGTCCGGGCGTAATCGAGATTTGATTTGAGCTCGCTTTGGCATCGGCAAGCTCAATTTTCCCATCCCTGGCCAGTGCCATGACTTTATCTTTGAAGATAAAACACTTCTCAATCGGATGACCAAGAAGTCGGTGGTACTTGCCAATAGTGTGGATCATCCACCCTTGAAGCTTCCTCAGGACGTTTCATTTCTGGCAGCTCAATGAGTCTAAGTTTGAGTAGCTCATCAAACATGGGAGATACATCGGAATCCATGAAAGGATAAGTCTTCTCCTGCCTTTTCTTCAATTGTTGGCCTTCTACCACCCCTTGACGGGCCAGAAAATGGTCTTGGCCTAGGCCTTTCAGTTGTCTTAGTGAAGACTGTCATAGGAGTAGCCTTCAACATTCATCACTTCTTTCTTTTCCTGCTTTGGAAAAGGTTTGTTCCACTTTTTAACTTCTTGTTTTCCAGGTGCATTGGAGGGGCTAGGCAAGTTCAATATATTGAGCCCTCCGCTGGCTTCGATGCTCAATTCCATGTCGTGAGCACGACTGGATAACTCCTCAAAGGACTTTGGCTTAATCCCTTGTAGGATATAGGAGAGTTCAAAGTGCATTCCTTGGATGCACATCTCAATTGCAGAACTTTGGGATATTCTTTCTTTGCAATTCAGGCATAGTTCCCTCCACCTTTCGATGTAGGTACCGGGCGCGTTCACCCTTCCATTGGTGAGTAGTGGTGAGTTCCAAGAAGCTGACCGTTCTCCTTGTGCTATAGAAACGAGTTAAGAACTCACGTTCCATATCATGGCCAAGCTATCAATGCAGCCGGGCGCGAGGTCAGTGTACCAATCAAACGCAGTTCCCTTTAACGAACGGACAAACTGCTTTACCAACAGATCGCCATAAGTCCCTGCATCATTGCATGTCTCCACAAAGTGGGCAATGTGCTGTCGGGGATTTCCCTTTGCCATCGAATTGCTGGAACTTAGGAGGTTGATAGCCGTAGGGCATTTTCAATTCCTCAATTCTTTGTGTGTAGGGCCTTAGTATAGGAATATGAAGGTTGTCCTTCATCCAACTTGCCTTTGATGGCCCCCATTAATGTTGTCCTTCAACTGATCCACCGGTATCATGCCTTCGGTAACTGGAATAGTTTTCTCAGTTGCAGGTAAGTGGGAAGCAGCTTCTCCTACCACATGGCTAACATGAGGTGGTGGTGATTGCTGACCAACCTCTTCTTGCCCTTCAGGTTGCTTTCCTGGAGCACGGCTTCCTTGCTCCTCCATGATGCTTCCTACCCTATTATCGAGGGTGTTAAGCTGTTTCTCTTGATTTTGGAGAGTGACAGCCATTCCTTCCAGAGACTTAGCAATTCTAGCTAATTGTTCCTCCACAGACTCTGTGTTTGTCGCCATGGCAGGCATGACATTGTAGACATGCGACCACTCAGGTGCAGCCTTCCATAATGGATGAGGCGGAGTTACGGGGGAAAGTGCTCCCGCTACTAGCGTTCCCTTGCATAGAAGTTGGACTACCACCATCGGTAGCTCCCTTGGGAGAGGGTGGACTTCCAGCAAAAGCAATAGCCTTTGAGGCAGCAGGGGCCTTGTCGAGCCTTCGAACCACCCGTCGTGCCATGGACTGAGGTTCAGGTACTCGGACCCCCAAATCCTTTGCGCGGTTCCTTGTCAGCGGACCTTGCGTTTTCTGGGTTGTGCCAGGGCTAGCTACAAGCGTAGACTTGGACTTGGTAGCTTGGGGCATAGGTCCTCCTGAACATGGGATTGTTCCGATGCCATTTGATGCGCAGGTAGAGGTATAGTAGTAGAGAGATGAGAGGCAGAGAGGTCCCACTGGGCGTGCCAAAATATGTAAACGCGAAAAACTTGAATTGTATATATTCAAAATTCAAAGTATCGGTTACAAGTAGTATGTATCAATCAAGAAGGGGTACAATCTCTGTATATGAGAAGTCCTCTGATTCTCTAACTAGAAGTATGCCTATTAGATATGTGCCAAATTTGGAATATGCCAAATTGGAAGTGTGCCGAGTCCAGAGTATGCTGAACTTGAAGTATGCCGAGTTCGGGAGTATGGCCGAACTGGAAGTATGCCGAGTTCCTTGTTGGAAGTGTGCTGAGTTCAGAGTATGCTGAACTGGAAGTATGTCAAGTTCGGAGTATGGCCGAACTGGAAGTATGCCGAGTTCGGGAGTATGCCGAACTGGAGTAGTTCCTTGCTGAAGGGCCTCCGGAGTTGGTAGCTTGTTCCTCAATGAAGGGCTAATATGCAGCTTGATCTTCAAAGAAGGGCTTCCGGTGTTCAAGTGGCGTGTTCCTCAGCGGGTATACGCAGTACAACTGCGGGCGTGTTCTAGACGATATCCTGGCGAGACTTCGGCAGAGCTTCAGTATGCAGATTTCCAGAGCCCTTAATTCTTGAAAATGAAACCACTATTTATAGTGGTGAGGGTGAGGGAAAATCTCCAACCAACTCTTAATTCCTTATTTAATTTAATTATTTTAATTAAATTAAGGAACGTATCGGGACACCATTGCGTCCAGGTTCATGATTTCATCAAATTTCCAAATAATATCAAATATCCAAATTCCTCAAAATTATATAATCCACATATAATTTTAGTGGCCAAGACCAAGTCAAACCCGCTATATGCAACCCAATTAATCCAAGCAGCCTGGTCCGATTTAATTAAATATTCACCAACTTAGGCCAAACAATCCAACATTCAATTACATTTAATTAAGTAATTAAACCAATTAATTATTTAATGGGCCATTTAATTAACCCAATTAAATAAATATTAGTCCAATTAACTTAATTAAAGTAATTAATTTAAGAATTAAATATCCACCACGGTCCAACAATATTATTAAATTTTCAATGCTTACAATATCTTTCTCAAATCCAAAAGCAATTCCTTTCAACCGTAGGATTTTATCACAATCATCTTAGCCATTAATTGGTATTCATATACTTCCAACACACAATCCAAGATCTGACATGATATCTTTCCCAAATCCCAAAGCAATTCCTTTCAACCGTAGGATTTATCACAACCATCTTAGCCTTAATTGGTATTCATATACTTCCAACACACAATCCAAGATCTGACATGATGTCTTTCCCAAATCCCAAAAGCAATTGCTTTCAACCATAGGATTATATCACAACCATCTTAGCCATTAATTGATTTTTGCTTTCACTCTATATAATAGTACACCACCAAATCAGAAACCACAACTCTTTGAATTCTCTATTCTATATTCCTCTCCATCCTCTTTTAAAAATGTCCAAGGCACGCACAGTTCGAACTAGTTCATACTCTATTGAAGAAGATAAACTCCTTTGTCATGTGTATGTTAATATTTGCCAAGATAAAGCTACGGGTCATCATCAAGCTGGGACGTATTTTGGACTCGTATTATGAATGCTTATCATGAAGCGCTACCAGCAAATGTTGGAAGCACTCGATCATTGAGGTCAATTACGT